TCCAGCAACACTTGCAGTAAAAATATGAACTTTTTAAAGTTGATCGTCTTACTACAGTGTTGTTGGCGCATTTTGACCTCTTCTAAGCCTTTCACTCTTCATGCACCTTGTCATGAAGAGTGAAGTTTGTTTCCAGAAAATCCTCTGCTTCCTCTGTGGCTTCTTGTACCGCACGTAATTTCTCACTCACAGGGCGAGGGGCGACCAAAACGACGAGGCTATAAGGTAAATAACACAACATGTTTTTATTGTATTTGTAGAGTCTGGAGGGAGAAGTGTTTGTGTGAGCGTGCAGGTTAGAGGCCGTCTGATGGAGCTGCAGGACTTTATCGTGTTCGTCCACAGGAAACGTAATTATGATTCTCTATAACTGTGTTAATGACTAAACGAACGTCAGGAGGATCCGCACGACATCTTTAAATCTAATTTTGTTCCTCTGCCTCAGAACAACAACGTGATTGGCACCAGATACATGGCCTCCGGCATTGTTCTTTTTTACAAAGAAAACAGCCATGTAATGCGGGCAGATATCACAGAGTGACAATTTGTTCTGATCTTTTCCCTTTGGCCATGGAGAGAGAGGGGGAGGAGAGAGAGAGAGTGAGAGAGAGAGAGAGAGAGAGAGAAAGAGAGAGAGAAAGGGGGGAAGGGATGTTAGTGTGAGACCTCACGACCAAATATTTGCTGTGAAAGGCCCGTCGTTGTCCATTAGGCTTTCTCTCTTTCTTTCTGTTTTCTGGGTGCATTAACCTCCTCTTTGCAACAAAGGATGGACTGTATTTGTGTGTGTGTGTGTGTGTGTGTGTGTGTGTGTGTGTGTGTGTGTGTCCCTCCCACTCCTGTGCGCCCTCCTGCATCCCTCAGCAAACACTCGTCCACATCACAACTCAGACACACACCTGCGCATGAAAATAAAACACTTGAAATGAATTAATGCAATCATCCTCGCCCCTGTGTTTTTCCACATAAACACACACACACACACACACACACACGCACAGAGAGAGAGAGAAAGAGAGAGAGAGAGAGAGAGAGAGAGAATAAACATCTAAAACGTGTGTAATGTGATAATCAATCCTCCTACAGCAGCCCTGAACCTCGACAGCCACCTGCGCTTCATCCACAACACATTCTCTTGTCCTAAAACAGCCAAAACAATTTGCAACACCAGCATTTAACATAAAATATATAGACACACGGCTTTTTCTAATAAGTAACAAAGAACTTAAAACGAGCCAAAAAAAGTGAAAACAAATCCAGAAATCGACAAATAATAAAACAGATACATAAAGCAAAGAAACAGGTAAATAAAAGCCAAAAAACAATTTGAGATATATCAACAAGGAAGAGAGTAAATGAACGGCAAGCTGATGAAAGTGAGTTAAAAGAAGCAAATCAAAAGAGGACATTAATAGGGCTTTCACACTTGCAGAAAACTCCTGAAAAACTCCTGATATTTCCCAGAGGAGCTGCATGTGTGAACGCAAACAGACTTATTGTTCGCTCTGACTTCACCCGGAGATTCTCCTGCCAGACTCCTAGTATTTTTTCCGCAGCAAGTCAGAGTGAACTGAGCTGATGTGAGAATGCAGCAGGATATTCTCCGGAGAATTCACCTCGAGCCAACAGGAGGATATATACACGTTTATATATCCTGTGTACTGCGGCATGCTGAGGGGCTCGCACTGCAAAGGCTCGGTGTCCGTTTGTCACCAGTCGAGTTTTAGAAAACCGCGAGTAAAGCTCTGCTGGAGGATCTCAGGCAGCAGTCAGATTCATAGGGAGTCAGCTCATTTACATATACAGGGAGGGGCCTGGACGTGAAGGGAAATAAGATGTTCAAGTCAGTTCTAACACTCACAGGGAGTGAAGGGAGGCAAACACAGGAGCGACGTGGTCACTTCTCGTGTCCTTACACTCAGGGAACAACATGAATGAGTTCTTCTGTCATTGTTCCTCTGTGCGCCCTTAAACACAACATCTAAACATGTCCGTCTGTTTAAGGGACTCGGATTCTTTTGTAATACTGAGGCAAGGTGTCATGAAGCAAAGTTAAGCTAACACATGTTTTATTAGTGAGGAGAAGGTGGTGTATAGATATATAAAGAGCTCTTCCTGCTGAGTCATTTCCAATAAATGGACCTCTGTATTGATCTGACTCATTGACCTCAAGAGGCGCTTCAAAGGTCAACGTAGAACGCTCTCATGGCGCCGCATTTGTTCAATGAAGTGATGAATTTTATATCTTACATTTCCTACAATCCATATATCAAAACTAAACGAGACACCGCTGACTTAAAGGCACAGGAATGAATATGAAGGTTACTTCATCAACACATAATAGTTTAAACTGGCCTTCATCTCGGCTCATGTGTGTGTCCATGATGTCTACTGTGATCTGTGTATGTGAACTAAAGGATGCTCCAATAAAAGCTGCAATCTTCCTGCATACATATGTGACCATTGGTCTTTTTCCAGGACGAACAAAGACTTCAGTGATGACAGATGTTGCAGAGCTCTGGACTGAGTCAAAGGATTTAAAAAAGATAAAAGAGACTTCATACAGCTGATGTTTAAAGATTCAAAAGAAGTTTGAAACAGCAGCTCTTTTCAAAACAACGCATCATTATTGTTTTGTTCACTCGAGGAAGACTTGAACGTTGTGTTAGAAATGTTTTGCAAAAGGAGGAAATGTTTCTACCAATCAGCTCCAGATCAGATCAATCTTAGAGAAGACTCATCAGCCTGCAGACCTGAACTGAACCGGGGTGAAGAGGAACAACTTCCAGCCGCTGTTACAGACATACAACAAGCTGATTTGACCCTACTGCTGCAGAGTTACTGTCAAAGAAATCTGAAACCTACAGATGGAGAGGAATGTGTTGAGCATGTGCAGGAAGTGAGTGTGTTGATGTCTGAATGAAGAAAAGCCTCACTATTTCACATTTTTCCATCTTATTCAGTTAATTAATGACACATCTATTCACCCTCATCAGAAACAGTCTGCTCTGAGGGTAAACTAACTCCAGTCTTTCACTGCAAAGTTGAACCTTGAGAAGCAGCGAGGTGGACCAACATGAGCTAGCTTACTCATAATCAATCTTCTGCTGTCGGGCTAATCTAGTGTGTGAATATTGAACTACACATTCAGATATCCTGCTTGTCACAGCATCAACGTTTGGACAAATAACTCGAACCCTTTTTTCAACACAATAAAAAAAACATCTTTAAAAGTTGGTAACGCTTACCTGGACCATTATAAAGCACAAAGAACACACTGAGTGTCTGAATAAAAGATTTATCATCATGTAGACTATGTGTTCAGATTAATCAATAAGATGCTTTCAAGGCTGCTGCTCCTGATGTCTATAAATCATCCACACTAATGCTTGCAGGTCTTTCCCACAGAACCTGTCAATATGCTAAATATTAGCTTTCATGCTAAGAGTCTTTCTTTGAAAGAGGTTAGTCTTCTGACTACTCAAAGCGCTTTTACACCGCAGGTCACACCTACACATTCACACACTGATGGTAGAGGCTGCTGAGTAAAGAGACCATCAGAAGTAACTAACCCTATTCATACACATTCATACGCCGCTGACGAAGCAGTGGGAGCAACTTGGGGTTAACTGCTTGCCCAAGGACATATCAGACATGTTGCTGCAGGAGCTGGGGATCGAACCCCCGACCTTCCAGTTGAGAGACGACCGACTCTACCACTGAGCCACAGCCGGCATACTAATGGCTGCAGACATCAAGGCAAGAATTTGTTCGCATTTTAAAGTATAAACACTTTTAGAATGCATACAACACCTGTACAAATGAATAAAAATATACAACAGCCAGTGATTAAAACACAGAAATTACGCGCCCTGACAGGCTCTATGACGTCACTCTGAACTTCAGCTTAGAAATAAAAAATCAATCAGTCATGCCAGTTCATACTCCCAGCACCCAGCGCCAATACCAAGAGTCCACTACCAACAATGTGCAAGAGACAATAAACTATATTCAGTCCCTGGTGATGAGAGCCGGGTGTCTCCAGTCTGTCAGACAGAGGCCACATCACATCACATCAGATCTCCTGAAGCTAACGCTGCTGTAAGTCTCACTGTGAGAACACGTGCACATTCAGAAATGTGGAAACAGAGAGAAATGGTAAAAAAGTATAGACAGGCAGTCACATTACAGAGTAATAGTGGCCAATGAAGTAACATGCACACAAGACATAATCAATACATTTCCAATCAACTGTGGCAGACTAATCAGTGTGTGTGTATGTGTGTGTGTGTGTGTGTGTGTGTGTGTGTGTGTGTGCGTGTGTGTGTGTGCGTGTGTGTGTGTGTGTGTGTGTGCGTGTGTGTGCGTGTGTGCGCGTGTGTGTGCGTGTGTGTGTGTGCGTGTGTGTGTGTGTGTGTGTGTGTGTGTGCGTGTGTGTGTGCGTGTGTGTGCGTGTGTGTGTGCGTGTGCAGGCAGCCGTAATCACATTTCATTTCTCTTCATTGTAACAGACTGAAGAATCAATGAAACAGCCAATAACGAGAGAGTGAAAAAAGAAAATAAGACCAGGCTGTCTACGCCATGATGAAGGGTAACCAATTAAACAATTATTTAAAGTTATTTAAAGGGATTGTGAGGAAATTAAACCCACAGTGAAGTAGAGTAGACTGAAGTCTTGTTTGAGCCACATGGACAGCAGAGCGAGGCGTCTTAGTGAGGCTTTCAGGAACACACTCTTTTATGTCTTTATTAAGTAAAAAGAGTTTTACGACATTAACAGCTACTTTACTGTCATATTATTTTTTTTAAAACGGGGACAAATATAAGCTGAAGGTCTCGATTGGTGGATCAAATGTGGCTAATAATCTGCAACTTCACCGAGAATAAAAGTAGAAAACTGAATGTAGATTCTCCTCTCCAAACACACACACACACACACACACACACACACACACACACACACACACACACACAGTAAGTGTAAAGATGTGCATCAGTACCTCTGTCAGTGCAGCTCGTGAGTCCAGGTGTACATCAGTGCTGGGTGATCGTGTTGTATCTCCATCCCCATCAATCCTTCAGCATCCACGAAACCAAAGAAAAAAAAAACAGCAAAGAAAAAGACCGAGTGTCAGTCAAATCCACAAAAACAACACGCGTGACAACGTATCAGAAAATAAGAGCAAAACACTACACTGTCTTATCTCTCTCTCTCTCTCTCTCTCTCTCTCTCTCTAACCTTTTCTCTCTCTCTGCGCTCTCGCTGTTTCCTTCTCCGTACACTCTCTCTCTCTCTCTCACTCACTCACACACTGATTCTCCATCTGTCACCGCCCCCTCACCCTCACCCCTCCCACCTCATGAATTATGAATGAGCTTCAGACACACACACACACACACACACACACACACACACACACACACACACACACACACACACACGCGTGCGCGACTCCACTGCTGTCAAACACATGAACAACTGTCCCGCTCACACACATGAAGGTCGAGCGCTGTAGACTGTTTTGGTTATTGAAGAGAGTTGAAATCTTTTTTCAACTCAAAGACTGGACTCAATGATCCTTTTAAAGACAAAAAATATATAACTGAAAAGGTTGAAAAGTTTCCCTGTTTAAAAAAAAAAAAATCAGCAACAGGTGTCCCTCATTGGTCAAAAGACATGACGACAAAAGGGGACCAGAGGAGTGGCTTAAAATGATCTTTCTACCATGATTGTGGCCACAAGAAGTTCATAGAGAAATGACAAAAGGTAAAGATGCAGCATCTTTGGTATCAAAATTGAAGTCAATGGGGAAAGTGCTTCAATCTGCATTCTGTCCTGTAGCCAGAAGGGGGCGACTCCATTGCTTATGTACGACACTATTAGTCTATAAGAAATTAAAGACAGGGTTGGTAATTTTCTCAAGATACAGTTTTTAAAAGTTTAGTTGAAATTGTCTTTAGGTCCTGACAGACATTAATAACTCATGTTCTCTGAAAAAGGAACAAAGAAAATCCGTCATCTGTATCAGTTTGTAAACCTGTAAAAACTTTGACCAATGTCTGCCACGAGGTACCAATCTGATGAACCAATCAGACGCCTCCCTGTCTCCCTGCTCGCTCTCTACCTCTTAGCGCGCACAAGCCCACTCAAAGCATGAGCTGAGGTCCGCTTGTGGAGCAACAGCGCTTGTGCACGTAAGTGAGGGGGCGTGGCTTTAGAGGGAGCACAGAGGGGAGGGGGGCGGGTGCAGACGGTGCACAGAGGGAATGCTACTTTCAAAATCAGGCTAGTTTTTTAAAATGACCAACCCTGCCTTTAAGCCATCTGATTTATTATCTAGGGACAGATTAATTCCATTTATAAAGTCGAAGTGGAAAACTGCAAAACTACATGGTCACACGTTTGGGACTGTAACGTCCATGCACGGAGGAATGGGGGACAGTGCCGACACCATGATCTGTCCGGTCATCAGTCGTCTGAGCTTGAATTTTTCAAAATTCTGATCTTCATTTTAATTCTGATCTCAAAATTAACTTAACAGTAACCTCCTCAAGTGTCTTCATGTTTGTTGTTTACATCCCACACATCTGAGCTCTCTGGTGCGCCCTCTAGAGGAATCCTCCAGTAACACACTCTCCAGGCTAATACAGCACAAAGTTCATTTTGCACCTATAGAGTAAAAAAAGGATAATGAAGCAGGGTCTGTGGCCCCCTGTGGTCAACAAGTCTCTGTCACTGCAGCACTGCAAGCTTATTCAAATATGGTGCCTTTTTGGTTTGAATAAAACAGCCACAACGTCACACTCGAGTCTTCAAAACACCAGAACACACTCACAGTTTCATGAATACTTCATCTGTTTAACTTCACAGTGAATAAGATTTCAGACTACAGGAGGAAAGATTTATTTCTGTGACATTCTAAAGACTGTTTTTTGCGGCTGATCATTTTCAAGCCGTGACATTAAAAGCTTTTTTATTTCATGACTGATCCGATGACACACACTCCCCCACACACACGTATACGGCTAACCTATAAAAACACACACAGGCATCAGCAATGCATGAAGCACATTCACATGCATGACACACGCAAACAGGTCTGATCATGCGTGAGTGCAGAACACGCTAACACACACACACAGAGTTGTCCATGCATGCAGCACGGGGAGCGAGGAAGCCCCCCCCCCTCCCCGCCCACCTTGGCTGGAGGCTATGTGAGATTTCTCATGGACGAAACACAGCTGAAAGGAAGGTCGGAATGTGTGGGTGTGTGAGTGTGTGTGTGGGTGGGTATGTGATGGCAAATCCCAGCAAACATCGTCGGACGGAAAGAAAACTCTACACTTTTAAACATTGCCTACAGGAACACCTCAACACCCTACTTTTCAGTCCTATCCAGATTTATACGAACTGTAGATATCAAACATCTGCTCAGTCGCTCGTGGAGTTTAGTGTCGAGCTACAAGATGCTGCGTGCGGTCGGTGCATCCAGCTGTTCATTAAGAAAAATCGGAGGTAGAAATGTCACGTCGGCCTGGAGGCTTAGGTCAGACCTATTAAACACGATACTCTGTCAGCGGCCGACTGACTGACTAAAGAGGTTACAACATTTGTCGGTTCAGTGTCAAGAGTTTCCCACTTGGTTGCCGCTCGCTCATAAGTTTCATTCCATTTTCCTTTATTTCAGTCACAAGAAAAAACTAAAAACATTTTGACTGAAAAGGATGTAGGCTGAAGCTTTAACTTATTACACCTACCCTTGTTACAAATCTTATTATTTAAGACACTCACTAGTTTGGTTACAAAAAAAACAAAACACAAAAAGAATTTCTTTCAAAACAAAACAAATGAAACAAACAAACAAAAAAACAAAACAGAAGTCACACTCACAAAAGAATAATCAAACCGACCTTTTGTATTTTTTAAACACCATTTTTTTAAACAAAAATTTAAATCTGGAAAGTGATAATAAATAAATAAATACATATCACTGCAGTCGGAGTGTTGATTCGGGTCATCTGCATGCATTGTTAAAGACTATTATCCTCCTGTGCTATTAAATGATTCCCCAGCATTTCCCTTCTGAATGTTGGAGACAGGAGGTATGACGAATAAATGTAGGACACAAAGTACAAGGAAATAAATATGAGCTTGGAAACGTTCTGAATGTTTGAGTTGGTTTGTGGTGACAACACTGATGTATCTGATGAGTCTTATAGCCTGAGGTCAGACGAGTGGACATGCATTTACCTCTGTATGCTGGAAGTCCTGCCAGAGGGCAGATGGGGTGGGGTTCAATCTCTAAATATTCTCAAGGGGTCTTCTGTGGACTCTACAGTACTTGATGACCTGCAGAGATTTCTAGGGAGTCCCTGCAGGCATTTGTTGCGTCCATTGTGTCGGTGGTGTGATGCAGCTGGTTAAGATGTTGATGATTCACTGTGGACTTTCATGACAATTTTTTTTTTTTTATCACATGCAACATCCCATCCAGTTGTGTTGAACCTGTGCAATGCCTCTCCTAAGTCTCAGTGACTTAAATGAAATGTTGTGAATAATGAAGATGAAGAAGGTGTACGATATCCTGCACCTGAGGGCGAAGAAAACCAACAGGAAATGAAACCTTTTGCAAATTCAACATGTTGGAATGCACTCAATGGGATGAGAAAAGGCAAGACAGCGCAAGGCATCGAGAGAGAGAGAGAGACTGAAGTACGAGTGGGGGGTTATGGATGTTGAAGACAGACCCCCCCCCTCCTTCCTGTAGAGATTAAGCAGACCTGGGGCGCAGCGAGAAAAAGGTTTCAGTTTTATTATCTTGCACTTGTGTGTGTATCTAGGCTTGACCTCCTGACCTCGGCCAGCATTTTCAGCTCCCTTCTGTCTTCAACCACACCCCCCAAACAATCAATAACACCCCCTACCACCACCCCCTACCACCCCTCTACCACCCCTTACCACCACCACCCGCCGCCGCCGCGAGCTGTGACATGCAAATGACCCTCGCATATCATTAAAACATATGCCCTAACAACAATAGGATAACCTCCAACCCCTCCCTCTGCTGTTCCTTAAGACGTGCGCCTTAAGACATGACACACTCGCACACACTTACACACACACACGCACACACTGAAGAGTGCACAAACAAAAGCAAGAAAACATCAACCCGTGCCCAGATGGACTCCAGTCAGTTGACCTCTGCTCAGAACTGAAACAGACGAGCAAACAGACAAACAGACTTCGAGTGCTCTTGAGCCCGCCCCTCAACACACACACACACACACACACACACACACACACACACACACACACACACACACACACACACACACACACACACACACGCACACACACACACACCTCATCAGTCATCCTGTTGTTGCCTCAAAACTGAAACTCGTAGCTCGGGTGATGTTTGTGCTTTTGGACGATGATTCCTACTCTGGAAGATTTTCTGGGTTAAAACATTTTTGCAACACACACTATCGTTTGTTGAATTAGTTACAAACCGTTGAGCCTGCGGTCCATTCATTAAAGCCAGTTCTTTTGCAGTATACTTCAGGCTTAGGAATGACGTGTTTGGTCGACGTGTCCATGGTTCACTCGATAAAGTATGTGGGAATGATGTTTTCTCTCATGTCAGCCGAGTTGTAAGTAAACATTTATCTTATGAACAGTGACTGCAGTTCATAAAAACTTCACAAACAAGTGCAAACCCGGTGTGCAAGAAACAATTCCAGTTCCTCATATGTAGAGAAAAAGTCAAACCCGCCAGTGAGGACGCTCTTTGGATCTCTCTTGGTATAAATTCAAAAAAAATCACAGCTGTTATCTGCTAACTGCATGCAACATGAAACAAAACTGAGAGCTTTAAGATTCTCATTTTATTTTACAATCTATTCCACAAATCTTGTTGCAATAATTCAGGCTGAGGTTAGTTTACAAAAACTGAACATTAAATAAATGTTAACCTTCTTAGGAACTCTGAAACTCCTGCAGAAGATAAGTCACACAGTTAGACAGCAATGTGCAGGACGCTCCATCCAACCATCCTCTCAGGTGGAGCAGAGCGCTAAGCAAGATATCCAGACATCGCCCTCCACAGCAGCTCCTTACTGAGGGCATCTTGAGGTGGTCCAGGGTGATAAAAGATCCCTCCAGCTAGCTCTGGATTCACCTTGAGGTCTCCTTTCAGCGAGCAAAAGGAGCGCACACAGGAGGATCCGTATCAGGT